TAGTAGTGTCTTTGTTTTGTTTCATCTAATACATCAATGTTTTGTGCTTATATGCTGTGTGTTTTATATACAAGAATGATAGAATCATATATAAATACAGAGGATTGGATCAAAAACCGGTTCTCAAGACCGCTCGTGCTACACGTCTAACGGAAAGCGAAATCCAAACCATCAAGGACATCCAAATCACTAGAAGAGTTGTCACCTGAAAGATCGACTTTCGGAGAGTTTCCTGTACTTCTGCTCAATGCCCAAATCTTGATTCCTTTCTTGTTCTTCTTCATGCCGACAAACTCTTGACTCTTACTTAGATTGGGACCAAATCCTATGCTTTGGACTCTGTCCAACAGCAACCTGTCTTCTAGAGAGAGTTGGTTTTTATAGGTGAAGTCAGGGGAGAGCGATAGCTGCGTATTGGAGATGGTTATGTTGTTGGATTGAGACCCATGGTTGGTTTCTTGAAGCTTAACGCCGTGATTTTGTTTCTTTGATGACTTCATTAGTCGGTGAAGCCATACAACGAGTTCAAGTACATATGAATCAACTTTTGGTTTATCCGCGTGATGAAGCGTCTGTAGTCGTGTTGGATTCCCGTTGCTCTCGCCTTTTCCTTTCCCAAACTCTATCCTGTTTTCCACATTTCCATTTCGTAGTTTTCCAGATCAGATTCAAGATTCCAAATTTAAAAGAAAAAAAGTTGCTAGAGAGAGACTTACCTCGAATTTGCCCATTCACCTACCCATCCAAATCCTTGATGCGCTCTGTGGAAATCGAAAAAGATGTGACTAAAACGAAAAAGGAGAAACATGTTGAACCAAGACTGATGGTGAAGGAAAGCTTACTTGGTGGTGTTTGCGGCAAATGGGACAAGCCATTGAAGCGACTTCTCCATTTCTGCTTTGATCTCAGATATTGAAAGCTGCAGAAACACAGAAGTTAGGTAACAAAAATAAAAAAACAAGAAACTGAACCAAACAATGCCTGACGACATAATTGAGAGAACATATATCTTTTTTGGACAAACCTCTTCCTCCGGATCAAGAGTTTGTAGCCGAGGTCGAAGAGCTGTCTTGACAGTAGCAGGTAATGCATTGTACAGCGTGTCCCTTACATTAGAAGGAAGTGATGAAGGTCGAGCCGCCTACAAATTTCAAGGATTAGTTTCAACCAGAGAATATGTATTATCAGAATACGACTGGCAAGAATCTGGAAGCTTACAATACTGTCAATTTGTTGGATTAGATTAGCATAGTGTAACGAAAGACCGGCTTCACCTAATCGTTCTATTCCCTGCTTCCCTCCATTGTCTTTTAGACCTATTGTTGGTTAAGACCATGGTATAAGTAAGATTTGGTTCTCAAGAAGTAGGGTCATTATCAGAGGACCAGAAGTACAAAAAATCATTACCGTTGTTACCAAAAACTTCGACAATTGTTTGACGTATATAGCAAACCACATCCACAAGCTTCTCAATTATCTGCAACAGAAGAAAATATTAAAATTACTGGCATATATACCACACAGTCAGACACAGCAATTCAGTCAGACACAGCAATTCAGTCATCACACTTGCCTCTCCCAAATTCCGGGACCAGAGCGATTTCTTCTGTAAGCTCCTCACGAGTTTCCTCTGTTGTTTTAGTTCATTTTGTAAGATGACGATACTCTCTCCTACATGTAGGGAAAGAAAATGAAACCGGAAGTCCTTAAAAGAGCCAATGCTGAACAAATTAAATAGCGAGACCAACCTTTCCGAGGGAGGTTTAAAGACTCTACTTCTGCGAGTTTTCTCCTGTAATCTTGTTCAAACCTATCCAAAGCTTGTGACTCGTGATATAATTCCTGATAAAGCAAATGCAAGTTAGTTTCAAATCCCCCATAAAAAATGACAGAAGCATTGCAACTTCAACATGGAAATAGGTCAGGTAAGAGTTTTTGGAGTGAAGAAAACAAAACATACAGAAGTGAATCGGGCAAGAGTGACGAGCTCTTGCATCGTTGCTTCTGCCTCATCTTTGAGTAGTTTATGCTGCGAGTTCTCTGTGTCAAGCCTGAAATGTTATAGACCGGTGTACAATGAAAATCCACTGGCATGCGAGTGAGTAAAAAGCATTGCATAAGGACTTGGACGCGGAATTAAACTTACTTTTGAAAATATCGATCAAGATTGTGCCACTGTAAATCTTTGCACATATTGCCAAACCTGATCACCTCTCCAGAGAAAAGATCAAGTTCCTCCCTGCAACAAAAATGAATAAGAATACAGATCGAAAATGAACCAAGACGAAACAACTGCAGATAAACTCAAAAGAAAAAACCTTTTGTCAGAAGCAGCAAGAATTTGCAACTCTGTGGTATCTGTAGAAACCAATTTCTTAACTCCCTTAGAACGCAACATATCCTTCTTCATGAGCTTGAGATTCTCTTCAGACAAAGATTGCAGCAAAGCAGCACCTTTGGCTATTGTGTTAGCCACTTCAAAGGCCAATATAGAGACTTTTCTACCACGGGACGATGTAACACCAGAGTGAAACCCGGTCCCCGGGTTCATACCGGACATGCTGCTCCCTAGCGTGTCTAGAACTCCAACCGCCTTCTCTAGCCCCATAACCCCAGCCCGTCCAAGAAACGAGTTCCTCTGCATCATCTGTCAAAAAACAAAAAATCAGAAACCAAATTTTCATCAATACAAGATGAAACCGTTCGCACTAGAATAGCATTCAGGCATGCTCCGTATAACATATGTAAACAACCCTCAAAAAGCCTATTAAAACAGAAACCTTGGTAGAATCTGTCCTTAATGGAGGCACCGGCCCGAGTTCACCGGAGAAGTTGTAGAAACTCTCGTTATGCTTGGAATTTTTCCTCCTTGAGCTTCCATATTTGTCTGAATAATAAGAATCAGAGGTTTTTCTTCTTTTCATAGACTTTAGTTTCCCAGATAAACCTCTTGACTTATCATCATCGGTAGATCTCAACTTCTTATCATCATCTTTGAAAACACAAGAACAAACACCTCCCATTTGTCTTCTGCTTCAAGCTATCTCTAAGGGGAAAAAAACACAACTCCAAATGTAATCAAGAGGAAACCAAATAAACCCACCAAAAAAAATCAAAACTTTGAGAGAAAAACACAATTCTTATGTGTTAAAACAACTGTAAACCAAATAACCCACCAAAAAGATCAAAACTTTGAGAGGAATCAAGAATTGCAGTTATGGTGAGAACAAAGAGAAAGACTTGGTAAAGGAGAAAAAGTCAGATAATACGATTTAGAAGCTAAGAGGGAAGCACCGTGGAATCAATGGCTCCTTTTATTTTAAGTTTTTTGATTTTGTTGACTTATCATTTTCGAGAGAAGTCAGAGAGACGACTATTCTTACTTTCTTTTGGAATTTTTTAATTTGTTGTTTTATCGAAAGTGTAGAAGAAGACGACCAAGAGACGAAGAATGTCGACCAAAAAAGGTTAAATTTTTCAGCAATCTTCCGTTGAATAAAATTCAATCTCATTTCAAGCATAATATCAAACGTAATTTCAACGTCAGTG